GAACAATAATGGAGTAAATTTTGAGAAATATTTTATTTTAAAAAGAATTCATCAGCTTTCAAACTATGTTAAACACAATATATACTAATATAAGGCATATATATTGTAAAAAAGATAATTTAGTGTATAAACATATCATATAAGTCATTCGGAATGCAAAGAGATTCACCAAAAACTAACTGAAGTGCTAAATGATCTCAACGGAGTGCATGTTGAAGATCCTGAACACTTGTATCTACACTATAGAAAGATTCAGATTGAATGACATCAGTACACTGAATGTACGAGTATGTAAAAAAAAGTTGAACGAATAAATAACTGAACTGATAAGACCGGAAGAATACTCACCTCAACTCAACTCGATACAAAGCAATAATAAGAGATGAAATGTTTAAAGCTTCATAAATAAAAGATACTAAATCAAGGATGTATTGAAAAATACAATAAATTACTATTTACTATAATATGAGAGTTTCTCTAACCGACAACCATCACTATGAGCTATGTGATGATACAACGTCCTGCCCACGCTGCCAAAATTGTTCTATACCTTGCCGAGGTATAGAACACCTCAATTAAGTGGATCCACTAAAGTTATGCTCGAAAGCAATAAGGAGTCATTTAAAAAGTACGATTCTTTACCCATGTTGGTTACATGGTTTATGAGAAATGTGAGTTATCTGAACTCATCCCCATATCAGTGCTCAATATTACTCCCAATAAATATATATACTCATACTCAAGTAGAAATACTCTTTCTCTGTTTTGAGATAATTACTCAAAATAACCTCTTAAAAGAGGTAACTGTTCTGAAATATCCTGAACTCATAAACTCTTTTTAGAAATAAAAGTTTCTATTTTCTCAATGTAAAAATGTTACCTTTAGGAATACTTAGTTCCCTTATATTCTTTCTCAATCATGTTAGAAACTTTTCTCAAAACTCATCCTTGCTTTTTTGGAAAATTAATTTTAGATCATTATTGGTTAAAAAGGGCTCTCAATAATAACTCTATAAAAGCTCTTGAACTTTCCTATTAAACTTAATTTAGTTTTGAATGTGCATTCAGACATGTGATTAGGATATGTAGAAATTTTCAAAGGTAAATGGAGCTTATAGGAGCTAATACAGAGAAGGAAAACGTGGCCACAACTTAAAGGAACATGCGCCGGATGAAACAATGAAAAGAATCGGCCCAACAATCCTTAGCATACTGCTAGCGCAGGGCTCCAGGCTCTGAACTTCAGAAGTCAGGCTTGGGCGCACTGTTGGCGCAGGGCGCCAGGCCCTAAACTTCAGAAGTCAGGCATGGGCGCACTGCTGGCGCGCTACCCTAGGGCCTGAACTGCTAAAGGCCAAGCCTGACGCATTACTGGTGCGCCGCCCCAAGGCCTTCCCTAGTATCCCCGACGAATTTTCAAGTTAAATTAGGATCCCAAATTAGTTTAGAATTGGAAAATTGCTCCTAAACTCTACTTGTATCTCAAACCCAAAATCAATACGTGAGAACTTTCATACAATTCCTTTTGAAAACATAACTTTACTAAATCAATAGGCCTATGAACGTCACGGGTTCAAGCCAGAATTCACACTTAGAGAACTTGGCATATAACTCTCGATATTTGAGAGTTTGTAGGACTATTCTGAGATGGCTAGCATGGTCTTCCTCATTCTTCGAATAAATCAATATGTCATCAATGATTATGATAACAAACTTATCCAGATACAGCTTAAATACTATGTTCATAAGATCCATGAACGTTGCAGGAGCGTATGTGTGTGTATATATGTGTATATATATATATATATATATATATATTTCTCTTATTAATTAATTAACATATCTCATATGTTTGGTTAAGTTTCATTTAATAACTTTATTTTTTATTTTTATATAATAAATTTTTTATTTTATTTTACATTTATTGATTATTTTACACATTATTTTGCAGATTTAGAAAATAAGAAGAAGGTAACAACAGTATTTTTGTAAGATTGGAAAAAAAACTATTAAACATTTCAACCCTTCAAAAAATGTATAATATTGATTAAAAATTTGAATATGAACATTTTAATTTAATAAAAATAAAATAATTTTTTTTGTAATAGATGTTAAACTAGTTTTTCTCTATAAAATAATCTTAATATTTAAAGTACATTAATACTAGCTCCTAATTGTAATTTGACTCTCAAAAACACTTTTTAAAAAAGATTAGTCAAACACAATTTGCTTAAAAAAAATATTTTTCAAATGAATTAGTCAAACACAAGTTGTTGTTTTTTTTTCAAAAGCACTATTCTGAAAAACTATTTTTAAAAAATGCTTCTAAAAATAAGTACTCCCTCCATCCCATTTTATGTGGCACTTTTCGGATTTTGAGATTCAAACAAGTCTATCTTTGATCTAAGTTTTTCATAGATCTTTTAAACATTTTGAATTATCAATTATTGTGACTTATAGTACTTTATACGTAGTTTACAAATATATAAATTTCATTTCAAAAAAAATGAAGATCCAATGCGCAAATTTCCGATCAAACTTAAATTGTTTGACTCTCGAAAAACGAAAAGTATCACATAAATTAGGATAGAGGGTAATTTTTAAGAGTAATACCAAACAAGTTCTTAAAAACATATATATAGTTAGAGAGCACAAATATTTTGAGAAGCTAAACAGGCTAGTAAATATATTGGCTTCATAGAGAAAATTTGTAATTAGTTGTTGGGCTATTTTTTTTTTCTAACACCCTCCTATAAAGTAGCTACGATATTAAGGGCTCTTTAGGTGGATGATTTTATTTGATTTATATGATACTCCTTCAATTTAATCGAGCTTGAAAGAAAGGGGTTTCTAAACTAGAATACTGACAGGTTCAAGTCTTTGAGTTTGTCGATCCAACTATGTTCGCCGCCGACCATCGTCCTTTCTTCTCCGATGCATCACTGTTGAAGAGTAGCTGAAGAGACTTTTGGAGTTTCCTATTTGAATGTTTGGACTTTTATTTTTTGTCTTTTATTTTTTTTTATTTTAATGGTGCTTTTTTTTTTGACATATATTTTAATGGTACTTGGGTTGGGTGTCTTTTTAGTTTCTTTTTGGGTTTTTGATCATGTTATGTTTTTGTTTTAATAAAAGGAAAAATTATAGAAATCTCACATTTTAGTTTACTTATTACCATTATCCCCTATAAGTTTTACAAATCTCAAAAATCCCTCATTTTCGCGCATCAGATTAGTGTATCGCGCTTATATTATTGTATCTCGCGCATCAGATTAATGTATCAGAGTTATATAAGTGCTGATACATGCGCGAGATACAATAATATAAGCGCGATACACTAATCTGATGCGCGAAAATGAGGGATTTTTGAGATTTGTAAAACTTATAGGGGATAATGGTAATAAGTAAACTAATGCGCGAGATACAATAATATAAGCGCTGATACATTAATCTGATGCGCGAGATACAATAATATAAGCGCTGATACATTAATCTGATGCGCGAGATACAATAATATAAGCGCTGATACACTAATCTGATGCGCGAAAATGAGGGATTTCTGTAATTATAAACTTTTAAGGGATAAATTGTAATTTTGCCTTAAAAGTATGTGATTTCTGTAATTTGCCCATAATAAAATATGGCATTTGGCCTTTTCAGTATATAAAAAAAACCATATATTTTAAGAAAATAAATAAGACTTTTTAATTTTGTGGTCCTAAATTAAAGTTATGTCAAATATCTCAAAATATCTATTAATTTTCTGATTTTAAACATGTCAAATCTGAAATTCAAGTACTGTCAAAAAAAGAAAGAAGTAAGAAAAGTAGGTCATCATTTTTTAAACGGATGGAGTAATATTTTATAGTTTATTATATATATACTCCCTCCGTCCAAAAATAATTGTTCACTATACTATTTTAGGATATGTCCACTTTATAAATCAATGAATAATTTTACACTTAGGGTGTGTTTGGTATGAAGGAAAACATTTTCCGGAAAATGTTTTTCCAATTTTCTCATGTTTGATTGGGTAAAATATTTTGAAAAATGTTTTCCAAATCAACTCATTTTTTCTCAAATTTAAGGAAAATAACTTCCCTTCAAAAATTAAGGAAAACATTTTCCAAAACTTTCCTCCAACTTCATATTGCAATTTTTTTTGTTGAGAAAATCAATTTAAAGCTTATGTTTAAACAATATTTTTCAACTTCAATTTTTTTAGAATTATTTTATTACCCCACCCTCACCCTGATTGTGATCCAGCTATTTTTAGAAAGGGGCGACATATAATATGAGACGGAGGGAATATATTCAAATGGTGATATAGTAAAAATTCCCTTCTATTTATAGTTTCTTAAGGAGTGTGCTAAGTTAATAGTGAACAACTATTGTTGGACAAATGGAGTATTATATATACTTCCTTTGTCCCTAATTACTTGTCCACTTTTCATTTTTTAGTTGTCCCTAATTACTTGTCTATTTTGACAAATCAATAAAAGATAAATTTTTATTATTTTCTTAATAAGCGTGTCAATTCAAAAATGAATAAATAATTAAGGACAGATGGAGTATAACATATTCCATCAAAAAGTTATTTCATTCCAACAACTCAAACCAAGATATTTCCTAAAAGAGCTAAACACATCACTCATGCAAATTGCCCAATAGAGCGGCCCATAAATCTAAAAAGATCCGACCATAAGGTCAACTCTCAGTTGCCCGAAAAAAATAAGAAAAAGGAACAGGCTTTTCGCTAACTACCGTATAATCTTTTTCTTCAACTTCAACTAGTATTTTTTTTTTCAATTTCAATCAAATAATCTCCAAACAATACTAAAATGTATATTTCAATTAGGTCTAAATTTAACCTTAAGCATCATTAGAGGAATTAGTCATTCAGAATAGCTATGAATTATAATAATCATTGAGGAACAAATTAAAAAAGCTATTAAAAAAAAAAGTGATGGGCATTCTAAATAAAATTCAAAAATCCCATACAAAAAAAAAGGGAAATTATAAATGAAGTGACAAATCAAGCTTCTGATCTCTATCGTCCTTAACAAAAGTTGGTACGTTCTCTTGACATTCTTCAAAGAAGTCATCGTTGCACACATAAGGGTTACTATTACTATTATTCATATAGTTCCCAAATTGATTTCGATAGAGGATCGTCGCGTTATTATTATTATTATTATTTTCAAATCTTGGTGCTCCATTTGATCCAAATGATCTGCTAGAAAACTGTTGTTGGCTAGGTGGGAAGTGGCAAAAGTTGGCTGCATGAGCAGTAATGTAAAGAGAAGGATGATTTATAAGGCCAATGGGATGATGATTAGGTGCAAAAACAAGAGGCGTGCCTTGTGGTAGTAGTGAAGAGAAGTTAGTAGCATAGTCATGATGATGATGATGAGATGGCATAATTGATCTCTTGTTCTTTCTAGCTGCTGTCCTTTCTTTCTTGTGAGCATTTTGATGACCACCCAATGCTTGTGAACTGTGAAACTTTCTTGAACAATATAAACAAGGAAATGACCTTGTGTTGTTGTTGTCTTCTGATGTATGGTTATTTGATTGGACATGGCTTACTTTCTCACTCTCCATTCCTGAAAAAGGAAGAAAAACAACATTAATTCCAAATGGCTTGAACTCAGCTACATTCAACTACTTAGGATTCGTCTTGATAGTTGCAGGTTAGAGTTATGTAAGTATTAGTATATGAATTAGTTAGGAGAGAATTTATGTATAATTCTATGCAAAGATTAGTTATACAAGGTTCACTTATTCATGTATTAGTTATTCCTTCTTTTATCATGCATAAGATAATACATATATTTTCTCGTAAGTTATACATGTAGTAGTTATGTGAATTTCTAAATTGCAAATCAAATACCGCATTAATTTTATACATGAATAACTTATCTTCTAACCGACTACCGAACATGATATTACTTATGCAAAATTTAATACCTGCATTAACTCATTTTCAAACCATCTACCAAACAACAACCCCTTTAAAGTATTTTGATATCTTAAAGGACTAAAAGGTTCCTGTAGGACAAAAAAATAGTGGTGGAGCCAAGAATTCAAGTAAGAGGATTGAAAAAATGTAAGAATGTTGCACTACTATTCAAAAGTTTATACATACAAAAAAAAGTTATCCTATTTGATAGTGTAATTTTCCCTCACTATAGGTAATGTAAACATACTAACATGGCAAAAAATTGAAATTATAGTGAACTAGTTACAAACCTGAGAAAACTGAAGAAGAGTTTGGTTTGGAGAGCAGAGAGTAGGAGGAACAAATAAAGAGGGAACAGAAAGAAACAAGAATATGGACTTTTGAAGTTGTGAGTTATGAAAAAAATGAGGAAAGAAAGAGATACAGTTTTAAGTTGAGAAAGTGAGGTTGGGAAATGTGAAGACAGAAATAATGAAGTAGAGTATTAAAAAGTGTGCAAATGGGGTGTGGCACAAGAAGGGGTGTATGGGCTTGGGGAAACTGCACAGAGAAGAGATAAGAAAGAGAAATTGAGTAGTAGTAAAAGAGAGGATAAGTGGGGAGAAAGTTAAGTGTATCATCATCCTTCCTGCATGCTGAGGCAATGGAAGAGATTGGTTTAGATCAGAAGAACTCAGAATTCAGAACAGAAAAACACTTGTGTATGGATTGGCTAACTTGTATCTGCTTCTGACACTTTTTTAAGCACTTACTTTTCCAACTTCACTTTCTTTTCTTTTTTTGTCTTTTTTTCTCAACTAAAAAAAGAAGAAAAGACACTTAAAAGCCTCTTAAGTTTTCAATAAAATAGTATACTTTTGTCCTCATAATTCAGAATTATAGTGAATTCTGTTCTTTATATATGTATTTGGGAGAGGTTATTAGGCGAATATGGTGCATCTTCAACTTCCCAAGTTATGATCTTAGATAGGAGTTTAATGGAGATCGCAGATAAGAGTAGAATGATAGTAGGTAGTAGAGAGTTGTTTTTATTATTAGCCTATTCATGTCTTTGCTAGGTGGAAGGGCGAAGCCCACATCTAAGGAGTGTTGAGCGATATCCCTTCGTCGAAAAATTACATCGTATATAGAGATCAATTTTTTTAAAATAAATAACTATATATACAAGTATTGACTTCTTTTGATAGAAGTTGAAGATTTAGTCTTAGTGGTTACGAGGTTATAAAAAAAATTTGAGGTCGTGTGTTCTGATCCTTCTAGACTACTAATTTATGTAGTTTTTAATGTTAAGCTTTTTATTATCATTTGTGGTTTACTGCGCCTGCACCTTGTTGTTATTATTATAGTTTCTTGCATGTTTGGCATTACTGTGCTATTAGCTTTCATATTTTTCTTTTAATAATTATTTTAATTTGCTTGATTCGAGGGTCTTTCGAAAACAACCTATAAATAAATAAATAAATAAATAAATAAATATAAATTCGAGCTATCTATATAGTCCGAGTTAAGAGTAAATTCAATGAAATTTACTGGTCTAGCCTAGATCCAGGACGAAAAGTAATTACTTAAGGGGAAACTAAGCAAATACCATATAAAAGTAAAATAATTACAAACATATACCCATTTACATTCATATCCCACTAAATAATTACAATATATACCCCCAACTAATTTCGCTTAATTAATACTAAATCAGTATATATATATTGTATTGGTATCATTAAGGTTTCTTGTTCAGAAATTATTCATTAGTTAATGAAACTATAAGAGTATATCTTGGATATATATACTCTTATAGTATCATTGACTAATGAATAATTTCTGAACAAGAAACCTTAGTGATACCACAACAATATACATATTTTTCTAGTGTCATTGACTAATGAGTAATTTCTGAACAAGAAACCTTAGTGATACCACAACAATATACATATTTTTCTAGTGTCATTGACTAATGAGTAATTTCTGAACAAGAAACCTTAATGATATCAATATAGTATATGATATGATTTAATATCAGCTAAGCAAAAATTATCAGTCTTATAAATGATACCAATACTATCAGTTGAGCCAAATTTTCAATCTTAATAAATAGGGTATGGGCTGTAATTATTTATGAGAGAATAGGTATTTCAGAAATTACTTTGAATTTAGATATGAACTTGTAATTATTTTGGATTTTATGGCTCATTTAAGAACTAGTAATGCCCAAAAGCTAGATGCTGCTAGTGTTTACCAATGGTTTCCCAGTTGACAAAAGCTATATGCACACTAGAGGGGATTGGGTCAGAATTTTAGTTGTCTTCATCTTTCTACAAAATGGCCTTCTACACTGCCCTAAAACTGCTTTATTCAATAAATAGTTATGGGAGAAAAAGAGCAACTTGTCTTTCTCCTATCTGACATCCACCGCCGATTGTTATGCAACTTGTCCCTTCTTCCCCATCCATTGGTTGCATGTCTTGGGACTTCACGTATGTCATCACATACAAAAACAATAACAACAGTGGTCCATATGTTCACGGACGTGGCAACTCTCAACAGGTTTTTCAAGACAAAACCATTCACCACTCATGTGGCAGCAGCACATATAGTTAATGCCACACTACTCCACCTCCCCCATCCTAATAATAAAGAAAAATATCTTTTTTGTTAGAATTTCTGACTTTAGGATTTATCTTTCTACTACTTTTGCATGTGTGACTATCAGTGTTTTGTTTCTTTAAGCATCAAACAGTGCACCAGTGAAGGTCAAGTTGTAGAAAGCCAATGAACAAGTGCAACTCACTATTAAATGCTGCAACAAGCCAACTACTGAAAAGTGCACAGAGCTTTGGGAATATCAAATACAGGATAGTTACGGAACCTCCTTCTTGTTCTCATCGCTACCTGTGTACTTTCTCGAATGGCATGCTGCAATAAATAATTTTTTACAACAACCTGAGCAAATTCAGAATACTAACCTCTAATATGTAGCAGATTTGAGCCAATACATAGCCCCTCAACTCCCAGAAAATCTTGCAAATGGAACAACAAATGAGGAGGAAGAAAAAATAAATTAGACAACACTTTTATCGTGGTAAAAACGCCCTTTTGAAGTGCAAACAGTAATAGTTCTTGAAACAAAACTAGGACAACTTAGAACTTTTATTTGACTCATGGTATCCAACTATTTACGGTAGCAATGTAATGATCTATTGCTAGCCTGCTAGGAGATAGCACCATTGGTTGTGTATAAAAATATTACATTATTGCAGGAACAAGGTACAGATAGTTTATAGTGATAAACAGACAATTTCGCACATCTTTATCCACTTTGAGATCTAGCAAAAACCTAAGCATCTTCTTAAAGAAAATAAACTTCGTCGTGCAGGTGTTTCATCAAGATCAGGCTCATTATTGCGGGGAAGATGCTTAAAGAAGGCTTTTACTGCTCCAGTGACCCCATCTTCATTCTCCATCGCCTTAGCCAGCTCAACTGCGCGCTCCTTTACCTGTGAATTACCTCACGTGTTCATATTGAAAAACATTAACAACAACTAAGCTTTGGTCTCATACAACCATGCCTTGAGTTTTTTGGTTTCCCTTTAAAAATAAAAGGAACAACTTGGTAAATAACTCCATCTTGAATTGATAATTCACAATTTGTCTCAAGTTTCTAGTTAGATAAAGGATGATGCAATATGACACAAAGATTCAAAAGACCCATTGAACATAACTTTGGCAAATTAAACTCCAGTATGTATGCTAATTCATGATTTAAAAACTTTTGCTTTTACATAATTTCTGCAAGAAATTCAGGTACATGGGATAAAAATCCATAGCAAAGTACCTTAGGATCAAGCATGAATTCAATTGCCTCAACCAGCTTAGGAAGGGAAAATTCATCGATAGGTATAGGTGGAGGGCCTACACCTCTAGCGTGCACCCTTTCCCCCCAAAATGGCTGGTCACCAAAGAAGGGTACAATAGTTGTTGGACACTGTAATCCCAAAATATGATAAAATCCAATTAGCCCAAATAAACACAAAAGGAAACAAGAGTAAAACAGAGGTTGCTGAAATCATCACCGCAGCTTTAAGACCAGCAGCCGTTGTTCCAGCACCCCCATGGTGCACCTGGAAAGAAAGAGAAAACTGGTAATGTCACTTATCATACACATGCTAAGCTGGATGATACTTCAAATACAAATCACATAAAAGGGAGTTTGTTAAAGCTTTCAATTGACTGAGAACTAGAGACAGCGGCCTTTATGAAGCAATAGAGAGCACCAACACCCCTCCCCTTCTCTGCCCAACTCCCACTCTTGCAATGTATTTGTCAGTGGCACAAAAATTTTCAAACCATCAATTCCCCTACGGCCCTACCCAACCGCGTGCAACTCACAGCAGCATAAATTTGTTGACTCAACTCATATAGAAAGTAACCTATCAGAAAGACACTAGAAAGGAAGTAGCACTTCAATCTCAAATCTTGACGAGGGAAATATTTTATCATATTTTGTGAGAGAAAGCAGTTTATCTAATTTCCCATGTTAGCACAATCAAGTCTTTTGAAAAAAAAAAATTACACAGTCAAAGGCAACCAACCGCTAGGCTTAATAAACATTTTAATCCAAACCATTGCTGTTACATTAACGTTGCAGGTTTATGCCACTTTGGTCCTGGATCTGAACCCATATTTTGCAGCTGATGGCTATTACAACCCAGTCTGGGACTATGTTAAGAAGTCTACAAACCCACCAAACTGGCACACATTTACGCATCTATAAAAACAAAGGGAGGCCAAGACGGGAAACACATGCAACTGGGGATGGAGCCAGGAATTTATTTAAGCGGATTCAAAAAGAAACTAGAATGTTACCATTGGGATTCAACTGTGAAATTAAGCAAATCTTGAACCCCTTCTACTACTCTAGAATTTTTCCCGATGTCAAGGGGATTCAATAGCTTAATGTAACCAGCAAAATACATTTTTAGCCTATTTACAAGGTATAATATATCGATGAAGGGGATTTGGTACCGTTTCCCGTGGCTATGAATACCTTTGAAAGGTTAAAGTGAAATAGTTCAATTTGGTCAAGAACTAAAAATAGGGGAGTGATAAGGGCTCCATTTAGTTTCGCCACTGCATGCAACATAATCAGAGAGCTCTATGTGCTTACAAAGCTGTAGAAACAACGAAAAAGTGGTCAGAGACATGCACACATCGTCATGCATAGCATCTTATGTCTCAAGCCTAGGCCATGCAACTCTAACAGTCAAGAATTTGTGACCCATATTATATCAACTAGATAGTAACATTATACCATTAGTAACAAAAAATAAGACCGAAGTCTTTATTGATAATCCCACATAAAAACTATGTATACCAATTTATAAGCCTAAGTCAATATTGAAAATCACATGTCAGTCCTCCATTTTTAATTGCGCCTCAAACCAAAGTTTTGTCCTATGGCCTTAGGCTTCTGATATTTCCTTGAGCTTCTTCACCGAATAGCTAAAAGATACAGAAAAACGAGTAAAAGTTGCAAAAGGCTCACCACTGCAGAACATTGTAAGAATAGCCAATCATGGGGACAATTATCAAGCAAGTACACAAAATCCTTTGGCTCAGCCACTGGATACAACAAAAAACAAGTATTAGCTGAGTACCACCTCCAAAATTTCATGAGTTACCTACACAAACATAAATAATTAAATAAATTGATTATTCTTACACTAGAATAATAAACAGAACTTACAATTGCCAAGGCCACCCCAGCCTTTGTTAATGATCCCCCTTTGTCCAGTGCGTTCCAATGCTTCAACAATTATTTGGGTCATTTTCTCTGGCTCTTGAACAGGCTGAGATTGTAGAAATAAGAAAAATTGGAGATGGATAATAAATAAATCTAAAGCTTGAATCTTGGGATATCAAAACATTAAGTAAATATGAAATATAGTGTCACAATAGTTTGACCAATTTTTAGCATTATCTGAATTATGTCTGAAGACGACGAATATTGACATGTTTACACAGATCCCTTCCTAGAGAATTTGCAATTGTGTTATATCACTTCTGATATGACATGTTATTAGCATACAACATCTGACAGAAAATTAACATTTTCTACATATAACTATTTTCAACAGTCTCAAATACAAAATTTGATTCACAGTTAAAATTTAACAATAACAACTAATCACAAAGTACAAGAAACAAGGAGCCACCATTCCTCGTTTTTCTAAATTTATCAGGGACATGGAAGGTCGTTTTAGGTTTCTCTAAAAAAAATATAACTCTCTATTTTATTTTTTATTTTTTATTTTTTTTTATTTTTTTGATAACCGAGAAATCCGTCTGTGACCCGCCCTTTGGACCAATCACAGCCTTCTAAACTCGGTGGATAATGGGCCCGCCCCTCTACCCTTCTCCACTTAAATACCGGGCTTCGCTTTGCATGGTGTGGGGCTTGAACCTGCGACCTAAGCCACAAATCCTCCACCTTTTGCCACTTGAGCTAGGCCTTGGGGGCTACACTTCAAGGGACTTCCCAAGCTCCATTAATGATGTTTACCAAAGCCAAGGAATCAGATTCTATAATGACATTAAATAATTCATTCTCCCAGCAATATTTTAAGCCTTCTCTTACAGCTACAACCTCAGTTACCAAGTTGGTTGAATCAGGAATCTTCAAACCCTTAGCCCCCACTAGATCTCCATCAACATTTCTTACACAAAAAGCTGCAGTACTAGGACCTGGATTATCTCTTGAAGCCCCATCTGTGTTACATTTCCACCAACCAATTTCTGGTGGTAACCATTTCACTAGTTTGTACTGAAAATTTGGCCTATAGCCATCCAACAAAGCTACCATATAAGGCCAAGTTTTAGGAATCTCACTATAATGAAACTTCGCTCTAATAAGCTTCTGAAGAGTACTATTAATGTCCCACAATACCTTTTCTACTGAGTAAACTCCACCATGAAATACTGTGTTTCTCCTCTTCCATAGATACCATAAAACAATATTAGGAATAGCTTGAAAGATCTCCTTTTGTCTAGAATTCCCATGAGCATCCCACCATTTTTTCATGGTTTGTTTCACTTGAATCTGAGGGCCAATGATACCAGCTGCATGTGAAACATAATTCCAAACTTTGGTAGCTATTTCACCTTTAAGAAAAAGGTGTTCTATAGTCTCTCTAGCTGGGACTATACAACAAGAACATAGTTGAGAAATGTTAGGGTTCCAGTTAGAACTCTCTATTTTCCTTCTCTTTATTGTGAAGATGGGGAAAAGGAAGAGAAGAGGAATGAGCAGAAAGAAAATATGTTAAATATTGAGGATCCTGTAACTTACAAGACTACCAAAGCCAATGTAAATGGGTTTCTGACCATCTTTCAGCCAATTTACTAGTGATTCTGGAGGTTCATAACCAGATGCAAGATCGAGGAAGCAAAATCCCACCACATCAACCTTTGGTCCCCAATCTGCAAAAGTGTAACTATATAAAGAACAGTTGCGACTTCTTTAAACAAGAATGCCTTTGATAAGACTTGCTGCTGGGAAGATAAAGGACTTCTGTGCTTGATTATAGACATCTGAAGAGTAATTACCTTTTGGTTTAGAAACAAGGTGAGGACTCCAAATATATCCATGTGGGATATCCAGCACAGAGACTTGAGAACTGCTTAAATATGTAACTGGTCTTAGCTTCAGTTTTCTTTTCCTGGTATCATTAATCATATCTCGAATTCCTAGCCAAATCAAGGAGTCAACAATCTGATACGACAGCTGCAGAATTCATAAAAGAGCAAATGTGAACAGAAACCAACCTTCTTTCTTATCTTTTTCATTGGGTGGGTGGGAGAGGGAAGAGAGGAAGGCAGTATCAAATGAAAAAGCAACACTAGATGCAAAGTACAGATATTAGAATCCAACTCACCCGATATCCAGCTGGTTGTTTAATGCGGGACAATGGATGAGGAAATTCGCTAGTTGGCCTGGTACAAAAAGAGAGAATGTTTACTTACTGAATAACCTAAGGTCCAGATCTAACTTTTCAATAGGACATGTAATATGAAATGAATATAACAAATAACTAAATAGCTTCCTAATTCTCCATTACCCAAGCAAGACTTACGTCCATGGC